GTTTTCTGTTATTTTTTCTTTACTCTTTTTTTTTTTTTGAAGGGTCCCAACCTGCTCTTACCGGCCATGCCAGGAGCGGATGTCTCGAGCCTCGTGCGGGGGAAAGACATGTAAGGGGCTGGAGGTAGTAGGTGGAAATTGGGAACGAATTCCCGTCTCCCCTTACACACTTTCGCCCTATTCGCACGGGAGACGTTATTTTGAAGCACATTTTCGAGCACCTGTTACTTTCAAAACATGATACAAGAGTCCATGACAGGTAGAGAGTCCACAACACCACACAATTCAAGAGTCCTAAGATCACTAATTCACTCAATCAACCAACACAATATGAAGAAGAAATGAGATTTCTTAAATGCATCAACATCCTCCATAGTGCTACACTACCTCCCTAGGTTGCATATTACTATAAAGACTGTCAATTCAAAGCATACTGAGCAGGCAATTGCAAGGAACACGTACTTGGAGCCCTCAAATTTAAAAATTTGGACAGTGGACTAGGCTCCAAGCACACAAACAGCCAAACATTCACCCGCATACATAATCGAACATCCCCCCACACTTAAGCACGACATTGTCCTCAATGGAGGAAAGATAAGGAGGGTAGAACGAAGTTACCAGCTCAAGGGTGAATGATGATGAACGGGTCAGGCGGTGCATTCCAGAAAGAGAGAGTAATCAGAACACAAACACCACACAAAATCTCAAAAAGGTTGAGTTATTGACTCTAAAATCAAATAACAAAACTGACTCAACCGAGGAGAAATAGAGAAAGAAATGCAAACCGACTGGTTGGGTTGCCTCCCAACAAGCGCTTCTTTCACGTCGTGAGCCGGACGATGGCTCCTAAGTTTCGGTCCATGCTAGAACCTCCTTGAAGTTGAGGTTCTCGTCGATGAGGTGGAGTCTCAAGTCACGAGCATGTGGTGTGGCAGGTGATGAAGGCTCATGTACTTGATGCAGATGAAGTCTCCACCCTCGAGACCTCTTCTTCTCTTCTCTCGTCTCATTGCCCCAAACCAGATATGACAGCATCGATTGGCCACCATCGCGTCCACCAAGAGGGACCGATGTTGATGTGGCCTTGGTCTGGCAAAGAGACACTGCAAATGGGTCCTTGCTAAGTAGTTCCTCGAAGTTTTGTGGGGATATTACTTGCAACTCATGGTCGGTGCATGCCTCTTCCACCTCAACTTCATCCTCAGCCTGGACGCCAATTGCTTCCTCAACCCCCCTTCCTTCTTCAAAATGTGGTCTCTCCCCTGGGAAAAGATCAAGAACCACCTCTTCTTTTCTTTCTTCCTCATCCTCCACAACTTCCTTCCTCATCCTTGCTCGCTCTTCTTCTTCTAGAAAAGATTGGAGATCAAGTCGCCAAGCAATTTCTTCAATGGGATCATCTTGCATCTCCTCGCACGGGCCCAGCATGTTAGAGCATAAATGAGGAAAGGTGTGATCTGCAACAAAGAACTTCTCTTATCATGATTATCATGGGAGTTCTCTGTGATAACTTCTGTATGCTCCTCAACGCTCCCGTAGCCTTTGTCATCCTCCACCTCTTCTAGCGTGGCAGCAGAAAGGTGATCTTGAGCAAGATGTGAGCAAACTTGCTTCACCCACTCTGTTTGCTTCGCTGAGCGCTGAACAGTCTCCTCCATATCATGGAGAAATGAGGGATCGGAAGTGGCAAGGGCTTTGATTTGAAAATCCAACTTGGAGCATGATTTCTCAGTGTCTCGAGCAAACTGCTCCACGAGAAGCCTTAATTGTTTGTGCGGATCTTCCAGTGAAGTGTAGCATGGCTCTGCAGAGTGGCCCGTGAAGGCCGCCATGGATAACTCCAGCTCCGATGGCCCTTCTGGTTGTGGGAGAAAGTCTTCTTGGTAATGAGGTTGTTCTTGATATGCCCAGGGGTCTGATTGTTCTCCGTAGTAAGGGGGTTGGTACTGGAACCCGAATCCATAGTCTTCTCCTCCTTGATTGCTGTAGGGGGTCTCGGGGTAATACCACCCGGATGGTGGTGGATACCCCCAATGGTTGGAGAAGCCATGAGGATCCATGATTCAGATCTGCACCAACAAAAACAAAAACACCCAAGTGAAAAGCAAGGGTGGAAAAGAAAAGAAAAGAGAAACGCTAAAGTAACAAACTTCTGCCTTTCCTAATACTCTAGAAAGTCCCCGGCAACGGCGCCAAAAACTTGACAAGCTAAATCATAACACCTAACAATGGCCAAGTGTAACCAATGAAAGGGACTGCAGTATAGTGGCACAAGTAATAAATATCGAATCCACGGGTCTCTAGAGTTACTATTACTCAGCTTCAGTTCATTATCTAGCAAACTAGATTAAGGATTGATTAACTAAACTACTCTACTAACTAAAATAAGTAAAACTACTAATTACAGTTTGGGAACTCACTTAGGTATGATTCCCCCTAGCTCCTCAATTAGGTCCAAGTTGTAATTCTTTTTGGTTGTTTTACTGTTGATTAAACTGCGGAAGATCCGACAGTAGCTTGGAATCTCTTAAGCTGACCAAGCCCTCTCAGTGTAACTATCCGGCAGACGAGTAGTCTTCACCGGGATAGACAGCTGAAGCAATAAGCACAGAACTCCACTACTGGAATTGGATTCCAGTACAAAGCAGTAAACTAGCTAACTCTCGTATAGCCAATCTCCTACTACCGAATGATGAGGCTCTAACAACCTAATCAGATTCTATCTATCTCAGGTTGCAGCAGAAATCAGGAAAAGTTGATCAGACTTCAATTGACTCAATAAACATGCATCATTCGATTATAATCAAACAATGTAGCATTCAAAACTTCATACAAGAAAGATCCTAACTCATGGAACTAGGGTTCCTCAAAACCTAAGTGAAGGGAAGTTACTTCATAGAGAAGAGAGAGAGTGCAGAAATCTGATCTAGATCTTCAATCTCCATCTTCAAGCTTGATTCCTGAGCTCTAATGCTGAAGAAATCCTCCAAAGTAGCTCCAAGAATGTTCCAAAGTCGCTCTCTCTCTAGGGTTCGTCCCTTGGGTGTTTGGGATCCAAAACCCAGCTCTCCTCTTTCCTTTGGCTGAAAATCGGGTTTTAACCAGCAATTCCCGACTCACACGGGCAGGCCGCACGGCCGTGTGGCTCACCCAGTTGCCCGTGAGAGTCAAAACGCAGCGTATCGATTAGTTGAATTCCAGGCTTCTTACACGGCCAGGGTCGCACGGCCGTGCAGCTCACCTTGCATGGCCGTGTGGATTTTCTGCTCTGCCCGTGCTTGCTCTCGCACAATCCCACGCGGCCAAACTTGTCACTTGCACGGCCGTGCAGGTTGTGGATGTGCCCGTGCGACTTCCTTTGTGACTTGCCTCGCGCCCGATATTCGCCCAATCGACCCCGAACTCGCTCCTAAACCTTCATTCACTTGCCAGGACCTGAAATATCACAAACAAGCACAACCTAGCGTGAAATCGGTCTAAAGCACGAGAAACCACATCTCAAACGGTGTAAGAACAGGGGTGAAAACATGTGTAATTAATGGTCTATCAGCTCCTTTGGCTATGCTCTTCATTTTTGCCCCTTTTTCTGCACTTGTGCACCTTTTCGTACCTAGTACACATGTATCATCTAAACCATTCTATAATCACATCGAATTCAAAAAGGAATGGAAAAGGGATGCAATTGACGATGTTTAAGCATTTATGCACATTAATTGGCACGAAACAATTAGCTTTATCAATTAGCTTTATCAATTAACCATCTCGTATTGGTTTGGTTAGTGGTTAGTTTTGCGGTTAATCAATAATCACTAACATACGTTCAAACAAGTACAAATATACCTAATCAAACTAATAACTTTTATTTTCTTTCACGGAATATAATTAAGCGAAGCAATAACCACTTGTAATACACAAATCACATCCAAATAAGTTAAACAAGTGTCATTTAATCCTAACCATTTGTAAAACAATTTAAATACACTTCTACGTTATTAACAGAAAACACTAATAATCAAAAATAACATCAATATAACATCCATCATGAATTTATAATCTAAATTCAAATTTCAATATATAAAATTAGAAATAATCAAACGTATTCATGTTATTATAGTGAATAATAACTATTGAAACATCAAACAGAAGAACAACAAGATCATCATCATCCACAAACATCTACGAAACAAAGGAACTAGGGTGCGATGTCGGGGTTTGTCGATTGCAAATCGGAGTCAAAGAGGATGAATTTTAGGTTTTGACTCTTAAACACATTTAACACTTTGGGTGGAGGGTTGTTTACAATAAGTGGAAATGGGATGTCTGGAATTGTGACTTTAGTTAGTTTTGAACCTTTGGACTTTTTATCGTAGCGAAAGACCAAAACTATGCGATTATACTATTAGGTGGTTATCGGTTTTCGTATCGATTAACTAATAACTGATTAGTCGATTAGCGGTAAACCATTAACAAAATACAGCTAAGCAAAACGAACCATTAAAAAATTAGCGGTTATCGGTTAACCAACAACCTAGTTATCGGTGCGGTTATCGGTTAAAACCGATAACTGACTAACCATTTACCATCCTAAAAAAAGGGTTCGGAAGTAGAAGTCTTACCTCATGGAACTAACTGCCCCGACTATTGAAAAATGATAATAACAATCAGCGGAACAAGACATTGATGACCTCATGATCGTGGAGTTGCTAGCTCTCCTTGAAGCTATTCTTTGGTGCCTCGGACATGGATTTACTGAAGTACGCTTTGAGGGAGATGCTAAAGTGCTCATTGAGAAGATCTGTCATGTAGACACTCAGGATAATCGAATGGGGGTTGTTCATGAGGAGATCGTGAATTATTTTGCTGTGAACAGTGGCCTAGTATATGATTTGTATGTCGACGTAGCAATAGGATAGTCCATCTGGTGTCAAGGCCTAACTACTTGAACACAAGTTATCCTGTTGTCCAAGGCCCAAGGTAATAGAAAACAACATTATTCTTGGTCATAAATTAAGATTTTGTTACAAATGTGCAAATAGCTTTTAACATTACAAAGGTTTTACAAGCCGCTCGTGTAAGTAACTAGTGAATCCCAAGCCCCACTACCCCCAACAAATGAATTGAACAAATCCAGCAGAGACAAATGAATGAAGAATAACAATCACTTTCAACAGCGAAAGCAAGCACAGAAAGATTTCGGGAAACCACCCATCAAGAAAAGGAACAAAAATGTAGGAATCCTTAAAACACTTATTTTTCATTCCCTATTCCTTTCACTTCTCCAAGAGATAGAGAGAGACAGAACTAAACTCCCGATGGCGGCTACATGTCTCCATTTGGCACCACCACATTTTCAGCCTTAATCAAGCTGGTATCCACCTTTGGAGGACCAGAATGCCTCCTTGGCCTGGCAGGCGATGAAGGCGGATATGCAAGCCTCTTCTTGGCAGATGACAAGGCTCCTTTCTCCTTCTCTGGAGGTGTAGTCCTATTCCGCTCTGTCCCTCCTAGCCCCAATGGACTCTGGAACCTGGACTTAGCTTTTGCAGACTCTGTAGGCACCATATAGCTGGGAAGCGATGCCAAGCTTTCATCGTCCCTCACAGACGATCCTGCAATGCTGTGCCTTCTGTTAGACTGGAAACTAACCATACTTCTGGTGTCTTCATCTGGGCCACCAATGCTGCTCCTGGGACTTGCAGACTTGAGTTTTCTCACAACCGAAGAAACCGGCTTTGATGTAGCTGAAGGAGAATTGGTACTCATTTGATAATCTCCAGGGGAGAGTTTATCAGAGTTGAGCTGATAACGGGCATAAGCTTTGCTGATTTCTCCACCAACCAAGCTTCGGTTGTTTCCACTCTTTACAGAAGCTTGATCATTATTGGGATCTTTGTCAGTAGCAGTAGTGTTCTTTGTATCCCAAGGATGAGCTGACATCCATCTTTCCAACCAGCTCCAGCCCCAGGAAGGATTACCAGGTGTCATGAACATACCTGTAGCTGGTCTTGCAGGGGTTTTCAAGGTTTGCTGCGTAAAGATGGTTAATGGTGAATGTTGGTTCGATCATCAACCCTAAACCCCTTTGGGCTCTCATTCTGGGAAAAAGAAATCCGAAGGAATGATTGATTACCTGATGAGAGAATGCATAAGCCAGTGCTCTTTCCCTTCTCATGGCTGCCTCGAACTTGCTGAGCATGTTGCTCTCTACCTGCTCCTTTGACTGCACACTATCATCCCATCCCTCTTTCATCTGTCACAATAGTTCATAATGCTTAGCACGACAAATGACCAACACCCAACGTATTCATCTGTACTTGATGAAAACAGGTTGAGGGTTCTTCGGCTTCGGAATTAAGGGGATGATTTCGCAAAGTCAATTTGGCTATGCGTACTCTGGACAATAATATTTGCAGTAACATGTAACTGAGCAAACTTCTACGACATAATTTTTTGTACAAAGACTACGAACGAAAAAAAAATAATTATTTCCAACTACCTCTCAATTGACAAATATGCCAAGAGCACTTCTACTATGCTATATAGCATTGGTGCTTTAATGTACAACTCAAAGTTGTACCATAACTTAAATGTATAAGTTTAGGTTGTACCATAAAACAATTTGTAGCATTATGTTATGGTACAACTTTACAACTTGAAGTTGTACCATCACATAAAGGTACAAGTTCAAGTTGTACCGTAAAAGAATTTGCACAAAAAGTATAGGTACAATCTGAAGTTGTACCATAACGTAAATGTACAATTTTAAGTTGTACCATAAAGGCAAAAACCTATAGCACCAATACTATATAGCATTGTAAAATTTCTCATATGCCAAACCAAACATACCATCGATAAGAAACTGAGAGAGGAAACTAACCCGCAAGCTCTCGAGCTCTCTGGCGTGTTTCTGCAAAAGTTGTCTCTGGAGGGCCTGATTTTCTTCAGACATTCTGACTCTCCTTGTATGGATTTGAGTCTGTACCCGAGCTAAAGTTTGCATGCACTTGAGCGTGTGGACAGCCTGCCTCTTTACAGTAGGTCCTCCCATCAGCATTTTCAGCCTAACCAATCCTCTTAAAGCCCTCAAAGCTCTCCTAGCCTAAGAAAACACAAAATGCAACAAAACTCCATCAGACTTTCTATATGGAAACAAAGACACCCTAAACCAGGACATATTGATTAGAGAGATTACCAGATACCCACGAAATGCAGTTTGAATCCTGATTGCTGCTGCTTCCTCCTTTGATTTACCAGCGAATTTATTAGCTTTTCGAACCACTTCCACAGTGGTTTCAACGACAACAGGAGCTGCAGGCTCAGGTAGCTCAGCAGCAGCAACTGGCGAAGTGTAGCCATGCTTGTTCACTTCAATTGTGGTCTCTAGTGCTTTCACCTCCTCATCTAGTTGAGGAGGAAGTGGGGGGAGCGGGGCTTCTGCTGCCACATTCTCTATTGGAGCTGAACCGGCTTCCAGGTTCTGCTTGGCGAACCATTTCTTCTTGGATTTACTTGACCTCTGGGGGAATCATAGATAGTAAGTGTAAATATCAAGTCCCACATCTGGAAACAATGCACAATTTTATCATACAACATCGATTTGAGAGTAAGAACCTCGTTTTTCTTCTCCTTGGAGTCAGGGCTGAGTGCTTTCTTTACACTAGAAAACCAATTTCCTTTCCTTCCCATCACTCCTTATCATTCCTCAACCAAAATCTTCTGCAAAAGGAAATCAAGAGATCAATTGGGAAATTCTTCAATTACCCCACAAAGAAAACTGACTGGAACTCCAAAACAGATTGGACCAAATCTGATGAAGCAAAGGGATGGAAAGTGAATCAACAAAGATAGAATTAAAATCTTAAGAAATCATCGTCAAACATCAATTAACATCTCCAGATATCCCAAAATATAAAACTGCATAGGTGAAGCGAAAGATGCCAAAGCAGTTTGACTTTAGCTGAATGTGTCTAGTTGTGACACCCCCGGGAAATTGTCGGCCAGCAGTAACAGGCCAAGACAGTTTTGAAATACCAGTGTTTCGCCAGAAGTCCAGGCACAAGAAAATTGTTGAATTGAAGCGTCAAAATCCAGACAAGAACCCAACCACCCACCGACAAACCACAAACGGGAAAAGAGGAACCCACCTCAATACTCAGAAAGGGGAAGAAAACCAACCAAAGAGACTGTACAGGCAACAGCAAACCGAGCAAAAGAATTGAATTTTTTGTTTTTGTTTCGCCCCCAGCTGGGGTCCATGATTTAGAAGCTTCGTCCTAGAAATGAAGAAACGGCGGAAAAGAGTGAATAGAATTAGAGTACCCGTAAGTGGAGAATTGAAAATGTGACAGATCTCGGACAACTTTCTCTAGTAGGCCTCCGGAGAGCCTCGCTTCTCCCTTATCTTCCCCAACAGGAAAAAAGAATGAGGAGGAGAAAATGAAGATGAAGAAGCTGGTGAGAAATGTGATGCACAGAGAGAGAAGGGGAAAAGGAGATGATGCTTCAGATCTTTCCTTGGGAAAAAAGAAATCAATAATATATGGAGAGAAAGGCAACGAAGAAATGGGAAATGGGAGGAAGAAGGGAAAGAAGCAGAGAAAGAGAGACCCACAAGTCCAGCTGGTTTTTTGGGCAAGTCTGGGTGAGAAAGAGAGTGTTTGTGAGCCCCACTTACTTCTTCATATCCTCTTTACGGCTTTACTACTCAGCTCAGCTCAGCTCATCTAATATTCAATCAGCTCCGCCTATCTATTTTCAAATCAAAATGGTGAAAGCCACAAGAAGTGGGACCCACTTCTCATTGACACGTCCTGGGAGAGCGGCAGAAACCGGTGCCGGAAGGGCAAGGGAATCGCCGGAGCAGCAACTGGCAGACCGTGGTTTGACAGAGCCTCTCTGCTTCTGCTCTAGTGTGTGCTTCTGTGAGTTCTGTTGAATGGGGTGAACAAGTTTGACAGCTTATTACTTAATTGGATAAACTAGTTTTTTGGCCCGCGCTTCGCCGCGGTAAGAACTAATGATTTAGTTTAAATCAAATAATTCATAAAATTATTTAGATAAGATACATATGCAAGTTTCACGTGATGTCTTAATCATTAAGAATAACATAGTCATCCTTTTGTTTAAGCGATACATCGTAAATAACTATTTCAACATAAAATTTACATAGTGTTTAGTCATTATAGAAACCTTACATTTTTTCTAATTGATACATATAAAATGATTATTTGTTCATAAACTTTGTATAGTGTCTTAATCATTAAAAAAATTCATGTAACAATTATAGATAGTTATTACATAAATTTTTCATAATGTGTGGTCTAATAATAAAATCACATTATAATAAGTAACATTCATGAAGTTTTAATTTATGTAACTGTCATATAATGTTGTTACGTAAATATTTCATAAGGTGTTGTCATAGAAAGTAACATATGATTAAATTGTTATGTCAAAATTAAATAATCAAGAGCTTATGGTAAAATTAGATGTATGTGATAAAGAAATATGATAGAACATTATTACATAAATCTTTAATAATGTGTGGTCTAATGATAAAATCAAATTTTAGAAAGTAACATATTTTTTAGTAATAAACATTGAAAGTAAAGGAGTTTCAGTTAATAATTTATCATAGAATTTAATATGAGTTTCAGAATTATCGTAGAATTGGTTGTAGAGGGAATAAAACTCATGTGAATAGTATTGCTAAAAAGGAGAAAATGAGGATTATGGTAAAATTGGGCATATGTGATAAAACTCCATTGTCAGCAATACCCGTTGAGAAAAAAATCTCATGTAACATTTATAGATAGTTATTACATAAATTTTTCATAATGTATGGTCTAATAATAAAATCACGTTATAGTAAATTACATTCATGAAGTTTTAATTTACGTAACTGTTATAGAATGGTGTTATATAAATCTTCTGTAATATATTACATTCATGAAGTTTTAATTTGCGTAACTGTTATAGAATGGTGCTATATAAATCTTCCGTAATATTTGGTCTAATAATAAAATCAAGTTGCTACGTAGGAAATTTATATTTATTCGGTTACATAGTTTATTGATATATATTTATTTGTGTTTTTGGTTTACTTTTTATAAAAAAAAAGCTAAAAGTCTTCCCTTCTCTGCTAATACCCGCCAAGATTTGTGAACTCGAAGAACAAAGCAAATTGTTCAGAGAACAGGTAAAACGTAGTAGGTTGACATTAAATGGGCTTTGCCTGTTCAGTCATGGGGAAACCTTAATTACGGAAGGGAATATCATGGAGCAGCGGTTAGGTGATTAATTCCTAAGTGAACAGTAACTAAACTTAATTTTTCGCGACAATGTGGCTTTTTCTATTTTTTCGAATGGAACAGTAAAAATATGTAAACGTAACTTGTGCTATTAATAATATAATATAATTTAAGGCAAAGTTCAACTGTATAACCAAAATTTTGACGTTTGTGACAATAATAGCCATTTTTGGAGAAATACCAAGAAAAACCAGAATTTTGAAAGTTTGATGACACTAATAACCATTTCCATTACATAATTTAATGGTGTCAGTGACACCGTTTACCGTTAGTCAAATTATCGGAACGCTAACCTAGCTGCCAACTCACCCCCTCTTTCGTTTCCATCTCAACATTCACTGACAGGTGGACGACACGTCATTTACAAAAGTAAAAAAAATCTCCCTATCCCTAATCTCCTCGAACAACTCACCGCCCCTCCTCCCGTCTTCCTTCAATCACCATTAATCTGCTTCCTAGACCCCTCTTCTTCTCCCCCAACAACCCACCACCACTCCTCCCATCGCCATCACTATTAATCGACAGCAAAAAATCTGCCAGAGCTTTAGTAAACACCCCGACGGCGAACTGAGAGAGAGAGAGGAGGATGAGGCGGCAACTGCTCAGGGGAAAGGCAGCAACTCCAAATCCGATGCGGGTCTGAAAATCTCTTTGCCATTGCCGCTAGTCTCGCTTCCGCCATCGTCGTCGAGTCTCTCCATAGGCAAGCAGCAGTGGGAATCCTCCCATATCCAAAATGTCCACTCGGTTTTTGTTTGATTTTGCAAAGCTTCAAAACCGACGAGAATTGTGAACATCACAGATCTAGGACCGGAGAAGAGAGGGCGCTGCCCAATGCAACAAACACGAAGAAGAGAGTTGGACGGGGCGACTGGGAGATGCAGCGTCGATTGACGATGGCGATGACGGTATCGAGCAATGGCTTCTTCGCAAGTCGCTTCACACCCACCCTCAGGGAAAATACCTTGACTTCAATTGCGATTTCTTCGTGATCGAGAAGCTGCATGACCCTAATTACCTTGTAATCCTGGGTCGACGAATCAATCCAAAACCGAGGAGGGATTGTGTAGTTGGAAGTGTAGAGATTGTGCATCAGGCAGACTATCCGCGGCACGATCCGACGACGGGGAAGGCCTTGTCGTTAACGATGGATGATTGGTTTTGATTTCGGCGTAGTGGGTGAATTCCCTGTCATCGTGGCGGAGGAAGTAGTGGTTTTCCAGAGTCCTAGAGCCGAAACAGAGGCGGGTGAGAAACATAATGCCCTGTTCACTTCCCATTTCGTTTTTTGTTTTTTGTTTTTTGTTGTGTCAATGAAAATCAAGAAACAAATTGCAAGAAAACTTGTTCACTTGTAATTTCATTTTTTGTTGGAAAAATCATTTTGCATAAATCAAGTAGCTGGGCTAAAACGATAAAAGTCAGTTTCTTGGAAATTTTGTGGCGGGTTTCTCCCCGTTTCCCAGCTAAACCTCTATTTTGATTAAATGAGACCTCACGTTCGAATCCCATCAGCCCCATATATTTCCCCTTTTTTTCCGCTAGCCGGCGCCAAGCTTCTTCCCTCTTCCAACCCTCTTCATGCGAAGCTCCAGCCGGTGAACTCGAACGGCGTCGATTTCCAGCCCTACGAAGCTTCATCCGGCGAAGAGAAGATGGAAGCAGCGGTAACTCTTTCTCCTCCAGCCTGCTTGACCTCAAGGTAGTAAGTGCTTTCTTTTTGTTCCTCGAATCCCCTTTCTGTTGTAGTAAATTTCTTTGTTACTTCGTCGCTCCATCGATCTGGCCAGCTGCCTTTTCTATTCAGTGGTAGCTTGGTCAATGTCCATGGAATAGCCCGCATTTGTTGGAGTAAAAAGACCCAATTGTCTGTAGATTTCACTGAATTGGGGGATTTTGATTTTGGTATACGGGAGAAAAGAACTGTTCTTTCTTTCGTTCTTTATTTTTTTCTGGATTTCCTCTTCTTGTTTGTCTGGTGTCTTTTCATGGATGGATGTTTAAATAGTTCAATTCTATGAATGTTGAAGTCCAGGTGGGGGGAAGAAGGCGAGATTTTGTAAAAGATACCATTCCCTCATCAATCCGCTAGCTGCTAAGTTCTGCAGCAACCACTATTGTGTTTATTACAATGGATACCTTCTATTGTGTTATAATTATGCTGCAGAACAATATGAATAGCAAGACAATACACTATTATCATGTCTAGGGTTGTATGATAATCAAGAATCAGAAAACAGAATGAAACAACTAAACAGGTTTTCATTTCAGAACTCAATTTCAGAACTTACCAAAATTCTCAGCTAAACAAGTTTTTTTCAGGTTTTGTTTTTCAGGAAATGACAGCTTCGTTTTCATTTTAATTTTGTTTTCTGTTGTGGCTGCTAACAGAAATGGAATGGCAAGTAAACGGCCCATAAGGTGTTGTTTGGATGAAGAAATGGTGGATTTTTGGTTGAAGTGGGAGGCGATGACATTGGGTTGATTAAAATAATGGTGGATTGTTGATTGTTTTTATTATTATTTATTTAATTTGATTCAAAAAAAGTTAAAAATTACATACTTTCCACCTAATATTATTTTTGAATAAAATACGTCCCGTCATTTGCTATTGTTAGTCCAGTCAACACGTGAACTAACACCACCAAACAATTGGACGGAAGTGACTATTTTTGGTATTTCGCCAAACGTGGCTATATTTGTCAAACCGTCAAAATTTTGGCTACACATGTGTATTTTGCCATAATTTAATAACCAAACCTTTCACCAGAAAATAAAATAATAGTCAAACCTTTTCGAAAACAAATTATTAGCCAAATCGTCAACTCTCTGTCTGGTCAACCGTCAGTTGACTCCAACGTGGAAAGAAACTGTACACATCGGCCCATTTTTTTGATGTGGCACCTAATAAAAATTAATGGGAAAATGAAATAAGAAATGTTAAAATCAACGCATTATCTAATCACACACACACTCTATCTCTCTCTCTCTCTCTCTCTCTCTCTCTCTCTCTCTCTCTTCATTCTCTTCCACCCATTCTCCTCGTTCGAATTCCTCTCTTAGAGAAGAAACCCTCTCCTCCTCCAGCAAAACCAAACCTGTCGCCCACCATAGAACCAAAATCAACGGCACCGGCTTCGTCCCTCCTCATGTGAAAGCCGAAAAAAGCTAGCGTCGCTCCCGCTCGTGCATTCACAGGCCAGGGCTTTTGGCGAAGGAGACGACGAAGCGCTGGCGAGGAGACGACGGAGCGCTGAAGGAGACGACGGAGCGCTGAAGGAGACGATTGACTTAGGTACCCATTCCCTGATTTTGCTTTCAAACCCTAGGTTCCTTATCCCCATTTGATTGAAAATTTCCCTCTTTTATAGTAGTGCGATTTTGGCGGAATCTGGTTTGTGAGGACCACAGCGGGACCACTGAAGAAATAGTCACGAAATTTCCCCTGCATTACGAAGGTATGAAAGCAGAAGCATAGGATTGAACTATAATTGTACTACGAATGAAAAGTCATCTTCCCGGGAAAGTCACGAATAGCTTTTTGCTTCTTCTTCGCAGATGATGAAATATTTGGATATTCTATACCATCATGGTGGGGTTATGGACTTCTCGAGATCGGAACCACGATATGTTGGCGGTTTTTCAGAGAAGATAGTGGTGGATGTTGATGAAGTGTGTTACTTCGAGCTTTTGAATGTGGCTACAATTTACTCGAAGTATGTTGGTGTTCAAAAGATATGGTACTTAACACCAGGGGCTACAATGGCGGATGGTCTACATGAAGTGCATTCCGATAAGGATGTGATGGAAGGGTTGCTAGTCGATGCAGCCGGTACTAGAGATGTGTTAGTTTTTGTAGAGGCTGTCGAGGTGGAGGATGGACTGGTGGGGGACAATGAGGAACCAGACTTGTTTCAAGGTTTGTCGAAGGATGCTGAAGATATTGGTGAGGGCTCGGCTGCGAGGAAAGTGATCCATGTTGCCGACTCTGATGATTCTCTTATGTAGAGCCAAATAATTCAGCCCCCCGTCCCATGTCAAATTCTGATTCAGGGGACGAAGTTGAGCAGCCTCGTGGTGTTGAAGATGATTACCTTGATGTGGAAGAAGGGTCAGCTGATTCTTCTGATGAGGCTTCCAGAGAAACCAATTCAAGGGTGTCGAATGTGTTCAATGAAGAGCATGAGGAAAGATATGCAGATTTGCCGGATTATAATCCCGATTGTGATCATGAGGAATTCTTCTTCAAAATTGGGCTGAAGTTCTTGTCTGTTGAGCAATTTAGAGGTGCTATATACAAGCACACTCTTTTGCTGTTTGGGCAAATGTTGCATGTACAAGGAGTGATGGAAGTAGGAGGTAGTTTAAATGCAAGGATGAAGCTTGTGATTGGAGGGTATATGTTGTCTGGTGGGGAGATGGTGCAAGTTTCATGGTTAGGCGGATAGATACGCCTCACACTTGCTCTCGGTCTCTACGAGTCAACTTAGTGATTTCAAGGTTCCTTGCTCGACATTATTTCGAGCGACTCAGGGTCAATCCGAAGTGGGAGCCTTGCCATATTCTGAAGTGGTGAAGGCAGAATTGGTGGTCGATGTTGAGGAAAGAATGTGCTACCGAGCTAAGGTAATTGGATGGAAATGTTGAATGGGACCCTTGACGAAGAGTATCACAAGTTGAGAAGCTATCTGGCAGCTTTGAAGAGGGCAGATTCGGAGGGACGATTCATTCTAGATGTTGTTCCAGACGGGACAACGGATAAGGTGCATTTCATTCGGTTCATGGTGATGTTTTCAGTAGATGGTTGTTTTTTGAAGAGTGAAGTCAAAGGAATGTTGCTGACTGCTGTGGGAAAAGATGGGAATAACCACATTCTCCCATTTGCATGGGTTGTGGTAGAGGGAGAGAACAAAGAGTCATGGACGTGGTTTCTCAATATAATCCAAGAAGAGTTAATGTTTGGTGATGGAAGCGGATGGAGGATCGTTTTCGACCAACAAAAAGTAACTTTTAATTCAATTTTGTTGTTTTGTTCAATTCTTAAAATGTTTGCTGCTGTGAGATTTATAATAGAGTTCCCGTCTTCTGAGTGGTTGGCTTGCAGGGGCTGGTCGAGGCTATGCATGATGTGATGCCTAATGAAATCGTCGGGGAACTTCAGGAATTGGGCTGTCTCGATCAGTCACCTTGTGGCTGTCTTCAATGGTCCACGAACGGTACACAATCTTCCCATCCACACTTTGATCAGTGACCTTGAATTGCCGAGGTGGAGGGGTATATCTTCGACGTCCCATACCTGCAACCAAGAGTGCAAACTGGGAAAACACAAACTTCTTTAGCTTTCACTCTGCTTGAATCACCAAATTTGCTCAAGTCTGTCCTCTTCTTCCCAAATTCCAGTTCAATGCCACCACAATCAGAAAATCCCCAATTCCAGAACCTCAATTCACCCAATTTCAAGCTGCAATTTCCAATCAAAATCACCAAGCGAAGCTGCAAATCGAATCCAACACCTTTTATCTTTGAAAAATGTCTTCTAACCTTCTTCTAAACAACAATCCCTCTTCAATTTGACCAATCAATCATCACACTCCAATTTCACCTCCTATTCGAAATTGCACAAAATCCCCAATTTGAAGAACCCTTTTTTTTTCTTCTTCTTGAATTCTCAATGCCTAGGTTCTGCGAATAAAACCTGGGGAGAAGGGGAGGGATGATCGGAGCTTGCGGAGGGTCGGAGGGGGTGTGCTGGGTGACGACGACCGCCGGAGACGGCGCTGTGAACTCAGCTGGGCGACGACGCGGAGTTCTGGGTATTTGGTCGACAGCAGCTCGCCGCTGGGGATTTAGACGACGCGCTCGCCCAGCACGAGCAGAGATGGAGCGGGCGGGAAGGCCGGCGGGATGAGCAGAGGCGCGCGTCTCTGTTTGCTGGCCCAGCGAGAGCTGAGTCGAAGAAGAAGAAACGAGGGGGAGGAGCAGGAGGAAGGGGGAGGGCGAGAAAGCCCGACCCCAATTTCTAAAAATTATTTATTTATTTATTTCTGTCATCCTTTTTTTTATGAAATACAGAGAATCTCCCTTTCAGCCCCCCCTTCCTTCTCAAAAATTTCAGATCAGTCCTTCCTTCCCAAAACTTTCAGATTTGTCCTCCCCCCATTTGCGGTTTGCTTGTGCGAATTTTGCAGCCTCCCTGTGCTTCCGCAGCCTGCCCGTACATCTACAGAACACCAAATAATACTTTCCTCAAGGATTTTGGAGCTGAAATTTTGCGGAGAGCCTCTAGACACACCCTAAAACTAAAAATTAAAAAAAATTGAAAGAAAAACTCACCTTGGGTTGCCTCCCAAGAAGCGCTTGTTTTTCGTCGCTAGCTTGACGTAATATAGCTCATTCCTGATGATATGTTGAGATTTCCAAGACGGAAACCCCTTCAATGTAGTGCTTGAGCCTCTGACCATTCACCTTAAACGCTCCTTGATCACCAAGAATCTCGATTGCACCATGCGGGTACACTTTGGTCACCGTAAATGGTCCGGACCACCTTGACTCCAATTTTCCAGGGAAAAGTTTAAGGCGTGAGTTGAAAAGTAATACCTTCTCTCCCACCTTGAACTCCCTTCTCAGTATGTGGTGATCGTGCGCCACTTCTTGGTTTTCTCCTTATAAATCCGGGCATTTTCATAGGCATTAAGCATAATCTCATCGAGCTCATTCAGTTGCAACAGGCGCTTCTCTCCAGTAGTTTGAAGATCAAAGTTCAGCTTCTTGATAACCCAATACGCCTTATGCTCGAGCTCGACGGGAAAGTGGCAAGCTTTTCCAAACACCAATCTGTACGGAGACATGCCTAAAGGAGTTTTGAAAGCAGTCCGGTATGCCCAGAGTGCATCATCTAACCTCCTTGCCCAATCTTTCCTTGTTGAATTCACTGTAGTCTCCAGAATGTGTTTCAGTTCTCTGTTGGAAACTTCCACTTGCCCACTGGTTTGTGGATGATAGGGTGTAGCCACTCGATGCTTAACCCCATATCTGGCCAACAATGTGTTCAACTCCTTTCCCATGAAGTGTGTACCCTCGTCACTGATGAGAACTCGAGGGACTCCAAATCTGGTGAACACGTTCTTCCTCATAAAATTCACCACCGTCTTTGAGTCATTGGTGGGCAACGCCACTGCCTCCACCCACTTGGATACATAGTCGACTGCGACTAAGATATATTTGTTGTTGAAAGACGGTGGGAATGGCCCCATGAAATCCACTCCCCATACATCAAACATCTCTACCTCCAAAATCGAGGTCTGTGGCATCTCCATCCTTGCAGATATGTTCCCTATTCTTTGGCACCTATCACATTGAGCAACAAAATCACGGGCATCTCGAAAGAGAGAAGGCCAATAAAATCCAGATTGTAACACCTTTGCTGCTGTCCTATGAGGTCCAAAGTGACCTCCTGCGGCCATACTATGATAGAAATTTAGCAACGACTTTACCTCACACTCAGGAATATATCGTCTTACCATGGTATCAGCACAATGCTTATACAGGAAGGGGTCTTCCCATATATAATTCTTGGCAATAGTGATCAACTTCTTGCCCTGTTGATAAGACAAATCAGGGAGCTTACATGTGGCGAGATAGTTCGCAAGATCTGCATACCAGGGAGCTTGTTGGACAAGGAGAGCATAAAGCTGCTCGTCTGGAAAAGACTCATTGATATCAACCTTGTCCTTAGGAATTGCCTCAAGCTCAAGTCTAGAAAGGTGATCGGCTACTAGTTTAGCCGAACCTTTCTTGTCACGAATTTCAACGTCGAATTCCTGCAAAAGAAGAACCCAACGAAGCAATCTCGGCTTGGCCTCCTTCTTTGAAAGAAGATTCCTTATAGCTGCATGGTCAGTGTACACAACTGTTTTCGATCCCATCAAATAAGATCGAAATTTATCAAAAGCAAACACCACAGCAAGCAGTTCTTTTTCAGTAGTGGAATAGTTCAATTGTGCATCATTAAGAAGCTTACTTGCATAGTACACCGCGTGCAACTTACCTTCCTTCCTCTGCCCCAAAACTTCCTCGACTGCATAGTCGCTAGCATCGCACATAATTTCAAATGGCAAAGTCCAGTCGGGTGCAATGATAATGGGAGCAGAGGTTAACTCCTTCTTGAGTCGATTGAAGGCCTGCAAACACTCATAAGAGAAGTTAAATGCAATATCTTTGGCCAACAAATCACATAAAGGCTTAGTGATCTTTGAGAAGTCTTTAATAAATCTCCGGTAAAAACCGGCATGACCTAGAAAACTTCTAATTCCTTTTATTGTGCTGGGAGGGGGAAGTTTTTCAATGATTTCAATCTTAGCTTTATCCACTTCTATCCCCCTCGCCGAAATTCGATGACCAAGCACTATACCTTCTGTCACCATGAAGTGACATTTTTACCAGTTCAAGACTAGATTAGTCTCTTCACATCTCTGCAAAACTCTAGACAAGTTAGCCAAGCAATGTTCAACGTTAGTACCCAAAGTCGAGAAGTCATCCATGAAAACTTCAAGACTTGATTCTAACATGTCAGAGAATATGGCAGTCATGCAACGCTGAAAGGTTGCTGGTGCATTACATAATCCAAAAGGCATACTACGATATGCAAAAACACCAAAAGGACATGTAAAAGCAGTTTTCTCTTGATCCTCCAGTGCAACTGGGATCTGAAAATAACCGGAGTAACCATCTAGGAAGCAGTAGTGAGAATGACCCGGTAACCGTTCGAGCATTTGATCAATAAAAGGAAGAGGGAAGTGATCCTTTCGGGTCGCCTCATTCAACTTCCTATAATCTATACATACTCTCCAGCCCGTAACAGTTCGAGTAGATATCATCTCATCCTTATTGTTTCTCACTACCGTCATTCCTCCCTTTTTAGGGACAACATGCACAGGACTTACCCAAGTACTATCAGAGATAGGGTAAATAATACCTGCATCTAATAGCTTCATTACCTCCTTTCGCACTACTTCTTTCATGTGCGGGTTTAGTCTCCGTTGTGCCTGAATTGAGGGCTTAGAATCCTCCTCTAGAAGGATTTTATGCATACAAAATGTTGGACTAATGCCTTTGATATCGGCAATTGTCCAACCTAAAGCTTGTATGTGCTGGCGTAAGACCTTCAAGAGCTCTTGTTCCTGCGAATCAGTCAGTGTATCCAAAACAATCACAGGTAAAGTGGAGTTTCCCCCCATATATGCATACTTAAGGTGACTAGGCAATGGTTTTAGTTCCAATTCCGGAGGCTGGATCCGAGATGGAACCATTGGCTTTGGAAATGTTGCGAGCACCAGTTGGGTTGTTGTTTGCCCAGGAAAAGTTAGGATGCTTCCTCCATTGCGGGTTGTAGGTATTCGAATACATACCTCCCTGGCCTTGATTTCGCTGATTGTTGATATATTGCACA